AGAGAGAGAGAGAGAGAGAGAGAGAGAGAGAGAGAGATGGAGAGAGAAGAGAGAGAGAGACGGAGGGAGAAACAGAGAAAGACAGAGAAAGAGAGAGAGAAACTGATGGGTTATATCTTTTGTCTCAGGGAGAACAAGACTACACCAACTGTGATGAGTACCAGCCTATTGCGGTCACGTGGGGCGTCTTCCCAGGCAAAGAAATCATCCAGCCCACTGTTGTGGACCCAGAATCATTCAAGACCTGGAAAGTATGTCTGTGATTACTTCTTTTTTGTTGCTTTGTTTTTGTTTGTTGTAGTAAAAAGAACTCTTCATTTTGCGATGTGAATTATTTTAGAATGAAAAATATACCCGTAACTCTCACATATGTTTAAAACTTCCTGCACTTACAGTCTCCCTCTGCTCAGCCCATCCCAGAAACAACTCACTGCAACTCTTAACTCTTTAGCAAACAAATAAACAAATACCCAACCCCCCCCAACTCCATTTCATCCCAGTCTCCTTCTATAAAATAAGATCAAATTGAGTTCCTTTTTTTAATTTGCTGTGGCTGCCAGACGTATTATGATCTGAAGTGCAGTTGCTTTTCAATCTTTTTATGGTCTTCATATATTGATTGGTGGGCAATTATAACGGTGTCGCTTTGTAAACAGTGTCACAGCTGTAACAATGCTAGTTTGCATATGATGTAAAAGAATGCAAAAGAACTTCGAACTTCAACAGCTGTTGGATAGTGTAATTGATTATAGTTGTAACTTGAGCAGTAGCGAGAATCTGGGGGAGAATTCTTTCTTGTGCAGAAAGGGGAAATAATTCTGATCAAAGCTGGTGCAAAAACGAAAGTGTGTCAAGGGAAACAACTCAGACAAAACCTATATTATTGTTTTTAGACTCATGGTTGCTCTCTCTTCCAGGATGAGGCCTTTGCTTTGTGGCTGGAAACCTGGGCAACTATCTACCCAGCTGAGTCAAAGTCACGCCAAGTGATTCAGGACATCCATGACAACTACTACCTTGTGAATCTAGTGGACAACGAGTACCCCAGAGAGACAGTTCTGTGGGACATTGTGGACCAGATGTTGGAGCTCTCAGGAGGCAAAGGTTTGTTTCTGAGAATTATGAGTTTTACCCGTTTATCTCTAAAAGTTAATTTATTTGGGTTTTTTTTTTCTTCCTTTATGAGACCTTTGGTTGAATTTAAAAAAAATTATATTTTCCTAATCCGTCTATTGATTTTTCTTTATATATATAAATTGACAAATATGGTGTCCTCCTTGTTGAATTTTGTTTGTCAAAAGTTTTGTTGAAATTGGACCAAAGATGACAGAGCTATAGTCCTTTTAATGGTTCCTCTTTTTTTTTTTAGACACCCAGAATTTTAAATGATAACATGATGTTATTGTTTTGTTTTTCTTGTGTTTTTTTAAAAAACAGGAGGCCCATGTTCAGAGTTGGTGAACTAGACTGAAACGACTTCGTGGATAAATTCTTGACAACATGGCCTATGACGAGAAGCAAGTTAACACTGTGACAGCTTTAAGCGTCCACCAGTTCTGATGATACACTGGGTTTTGATGAGTCATTGTAAATAAGTATTGATGCGCAAGTGGATAAATGTAAATATGACAAAGTTAACACTTGAGCTTTGTAAAAAAACAAAAATTCCAATGGGAAGAATATATGCCACGCACGTCACTGTAAAAAAATACTCTCTTGATTCACCCTGTATTCAGGTTATATAGAGATCAAGTTCCAAATAACTTGTACGGTATGCTTTCAAAAGGAGAAATTTAAGTATATTATTATTTAAAGTGCTGAGCAGGCAAGCAAATTTTATGGCTTTGGAATTCCCTGGCTTTGAAGCTTTGATTGTAAATGAAGTGACCTTCATTTTAGTCGGCAACTACGCTTATATTGTATATATGATATTTGACACATGGATTCTGCTCCCTCCATACACCATTGACGTCTGATGTCTATGAAGAAACTTTGGCTGTGTACAATTTTGTCTTGATGATTTGACAGTTCTCTTATGCTTAAAAAGCACTGTGATTATTAGTTATTAGAGGAAGTAAACAGTATTTTTTTGCTTTCCCTATTTTGCTGCATATTTTGTTACTCTTTGCTGAATATCTATGCTTAGATGTCATGTGGTGTTTGGCTTGATTTATGTTTTTGTGAAGTATTCAGGGCAAGAAGTATAGTTTGTAAACAATTCCCCCCCCCCCCCCCCTTTCATCCCCTCCCTTCCCCAAGCGCAATGAAATAGTTTTAAGGGGACCATGGAATGAAATGTTGTAAATGTATTTTGCGTGTTTGTATGTTTGTGAGTGCTTGAGTTCATGTGTATATATAATGCTTGCATGTATGTGAGAAGGATGCAAATACAGAGTTTGAAAGCATTGCTTGTTGAATGAATGCGAGTGGACAGTTGTAAACAATTGATTTTTCACTCATGAAATGTATAACAAACTTTCTGTCTCATCCTTACAATGACGAGGCAAGTTCTGATCATAAAGGGTAGGAATCATAAAAAGAAAACCCAGCGGGCATTATGAACCTAAACAGCAGAATTAGAAGTATTCAGGGTGTGGTTAGTTTAAAAAGTAAGACACCTGTCTTAAAACTCTATAAATAAATTTAGATATCTTTTTTCTTGATAAATGTATGGTAAATTTCTTGTAATGTGTTTTTCCTCTACAGGTACCAAAATCTGTACTTGTATCTCCAGTGCCAGATAATTACTCTCTCTCAGAAGGGCTAGGCCATTTCTTAGTGAAATTTCGTAGATGTGAAGCTGTGTTAAAATTTGTCAAAAGTGTGAAGGTCTATTGATATCTACACTGCTCATTTAAAGAACTCCTGTACAGTACAGCAATAGCTTTTCTCAAACTCATAAATGACGTAGCTTCGATAAAAATTGGCATGTGTAGCTGGTTGTAAGTGAAAAGGCGATCTGAGTGAATATGTAACTGTTTCTGAGTAAATTAAGGAGGAAGAGATGCCTTTCGTTTTGTTTTTTGTGGTGCCAATTAACATCATCAACCCCGGTGGATGACTTAAATGCAAGGTAAAACCACTGCCAAGAACATTTCAGTACTTAACAAATCTGGAACATTTCAGTCTATTTTCAACGTGAACTGGAACAACTTGTCCCCCCCCCCCACTCCCCCCCAACCCTGCTCCAACTAATTTTTGTGTGTGTTATGGTACAGGTTTTTTTTGTGGTGTGATTTGTTTTTGTTTGGGATGAAAGCCCAGTTTAATCAGTATTGTGTGCTCAGATGTATAATGATTTGGGTAATGCAGTGATGTGTGATTTTTATTATTAGTCTTAGCTTTTGATATAGCAAAAGTCTATGTTATATTATCATGTTAAGATGAAACAGTTATTAAATATTTGTTATTAATTTTAGGGTGTATCAAGCTGCCAAGAGGATGATGGTTGTGTTAAAAATCATGAATTTAAAAGCAGCTGAAAGGAATGTGTTATCAAAAGTTATTTTGCGTTCTACAAGCCGCACAATTAAATTAATGCACAGCCTATTTAGTTCTGTGTGGATGTCATCAGTTCTAGCTTCTTCTGGATTATGGCATTCAGTGAAGTGAAAGTGGAGCCTTGTCGTAATGAGTCTACATTGGAGTCCACTTAAACCGAACATGGTTAATCCGAAAACAGCGGTAAACTGAAAGGAAATGAAATCCCAAATATTTTTTTCTTCTCTTTAGGCAACGTTTTGAACTGAATACACGGCTAAACCAAAGAGAATCTGGCCGTTGTGCGGATTTTGGTTCAAGTGGACTCCTCTGTATTATATGTAAATAAACCGACAGACGGGAAATAAAAATTCCCACCTTAAAAAAAACCCATTTGTATACAGTCGAGGCGTTAAGCCTATATTGTATCTACACCCCCCCCCCTCTCAAGTAAAGAATGAAGGCTCATTGTAGAACAAGGGTATTCTCTCTATCTGTCACTGAATGGTGGAAACTTTCTTTCCTAAGTCCAGGCAGGAGCGTAAAACGAACCCCACTCTTTGGACTACTTTTGTCTTCCTCAGTCTCATTTCATAATGAGTATGAGAAACGCAAGTCTATTTGTATCTATCTTCAGCCTCTTAAATGACAATCTTTGCATTGTGAGGGCATGTAGAACTAAAACTCAAAACTAATAAATGTGGTGGTGCATCAATGTACAGTCTAACTTGAAATTGTTTTTTTTTTCTTCAGTGAATTGTGTACATGTATTGTATAAAAATCTGCAGACAGTGAAATGGGATTTGTTTGAGGTTGGAGAAGAGGGGTGGGGGGGGGGATGGGGGCGTGCAATGGACAAGACCAACTCTTTGGTAAAGGTCTGCCTACCAAATTCTTTTCTACCAAATCCTATCCTTAAAATGGCATATGGCAGAGTCTTGCATTAAGCAGTGGATATATAACGTAGACAGAGGGAGGTTCCTTTCTAGAGGTTACTTGAATGTTTTCTTTTATGTTTGTAGTCGTATGGTTCTTGATACGTGTACAATTAAATATGTAAATTATTCTTATTTTTAGTCTTGTAACTTCATGATCTTTTGCATTGTCAAGTGTATTTTATACAATAGGAAGTGGCTGGCTACCCATGATATGTGATCTGAATTTATGGCCAGGCGGTAGGCAGTATGTCTCGACATTTTCTTGCCGTGTTTGAAAAAATACAATATTCGTGATCTGTTTCTGACTCACCACCAGTGTTACGTTTTGAATTTGTTTTTTGAAATATAGTGTCCTAGTCATTGATAAGCTCTTCACCAAATCGTCATGGGCGGTTTACGGGTACGGTTCTCTGGTGTGGTTTGCTCCTTCTTTCTTAATAAACAAACATAATATATATCATCCTTATCTCTCCTCCTCTTTGTGTTTGTTACTGTCTTGTAACACCTCTAGTTTTCGGTACTTACTTGACCTAATTGTGTTGTAAATGCTCTAAAATGCTTTCGAAAACAAACCAAACCAAATCTCTTTCCTATTTGCAAGAAGGTATATTTATAGATTCAATCGTTATAAGTAATTCCCATAACACATTGCAGATAACTGTCGTCGAATCTCCTTCTGATTCTGATACATTCAAGGCTGACAGGATAACCATGTCAAAAGCTACCATTCTGGTATGTTGTAATCAAATCCTTCACAATCAAACACGCGGGGCCAGATCTTTTGTTTGAGCGTGGAATGCGATAGGTCTGTTAGAAACGTCTACCACCGCCTAAGTCATTGGGGGTGCTACAGCTCAGGGGACTGTTAACTTGACAAATACATGTACGAGTATGTCAAAGTTTTCAGTTTCGATTTGTGGATCGAGCTACCTTCAATACAGGTACACACACACACACACACACACACACACACACACACACACACA